CCTAAAATGCTTCTCTCCGGGTGGGGTCAAACATGGTGGATTCATGAATTCTGCTCTCTACTAGAGAGGGCTGAAGCTCAAGAGCACTTGGGTTATGCAGCAGGACAATGATTAGAATCAAACCAGCAAGTCCACCTCTGAATGGTTTAAAAAAAAGACAAAGTGGAGGTTTTGGATTGGCCTAGTCAAAGTCTGAAAATCTTATTGAGATGCTTCGGCATAACCTTAAACAGGCCGCTGATGCCTGAAAACCCTCCAGTGTTGCCGAATTAAAGAAATTCTGCAAATAAGAGTGGAAACCAAACCAAAATTCCTCCACAGAGATGTGAAAGACTCAATTCCAGTTAATACAACACTTGACTGCAGTTCTTGCTGCTAAGGGTGGCACAACCAGTTAGGCTGAGGTTTTCACATAAGACCAGGTCGGTTTGGATAGATCACATCTAAATGTGACAAATATTCAAAAAGCTAAGAAATCAGAAGGGGACAAATACGTTTTCACAGCACTGTATATAAACTCCTAGACAGTGGAATAATAGAAACTTATTCTATTATTGTGGGTCAATATTGAACCTCTTTCACATTTTGCCTCTTATAATCCACAGTGCAAACCGATGTCACTACTGCTAAGTTTAACAGTTTCTCATCTCTTTTATTTCATCCATCATTCACTGGTGTCTTCCACAGCTGTGTGATAGCAAACATTTATCAGGCATGCACTGCACATTCCTGCTGTTTTCAGCTGACATCTAAGAAGTCCAAGGACTTCTCTCTCACTCACTGATAAAGTGGTTTTGTCTAAGTTGCCTGCAAATACTTTGAGTAACAGCAACACTTATAAAATAAGCATGGATTAGTGCTGACACACTGAACCTGAAACCGAAGAGTAATTGTTTCAGCCAGCCTGTTTTCTTTTTTCTTGCTTAATTTTTGGTGCCCCCTAAGAGAGATTTTAGCCAAAGCTGGAGAAAAATCACCAGCACTGTAATAACTTATTTTTAAACCAGCTTTTATAAGCTGAAGATTCCTTTACTGAAAAAAACTGAGGTTTTATCTTTATCAGATGGTCAGATAGGGATGTGAACACAGCACCCTTAAAAAGGCTAATTCTCAGGCAGGAGAAACACCTGCCGCTAAAGGCCCTGATCGGTGTTTAGGCTCCTGCTGACTGAAGGAAGAAGCCTATTGATACAAGGCAAAATGCTGTTCAACACTTTTTTTTCTTGATAAAACCCTGATTAAAGCTCATTTCAATTACGTTGTCATTAAACTTTTCCATTAGAGTAGCCAGACTTCCACCAGAGACCCTTTATTTAATAACTTACTTCAAAAGAGAAAAAAAATCTTTATGAGCCGAAGAAGAGGAAAGAGAAGAAAAAGGTCTGAACTTTTAGGTTCAATTAAATAATATTTCTTTCTTTTTCTTCGTCTTTTTTTTCTGTGCATCCACGGCAAATATTATGCAATAAAGTTACACTTAAGACATTTTTCCTTTCAATAGCAGCTCAAAGATTCCCATTGACAAGTTCACTTTATTAAACAAGCCTGGGATTAAATAGAAAAAATACAAATAGACGCCTAAATCCCATCATGAAACTACCAAATGCTCGGAACAACTGGCCGGCCAAGGTGGAAAAATGGTGCCATTTTAAAGCTGAAGGGATTTAAGGATTTTCTGTTTATTGCGCTTTGCTGCACTTTGATTAAAAAAGTACTTACAGCATTATTTGAAAGCACCCTTACTTTACTTTTAGTTAACTTTTGCACACTTTTACAGGAGTAAATAAGCAGTTTGGAACATGAAAGTAAGCTTTACAGATGATTGTTCAGCAGATAAGTACTTAAATCTAAATCTAAAAGAAGTAATGTTAAAATTGAAAAATTTATTTTAACATTATTTTTATTATTAGCAAATTTATTACAATTTAAAGCAGATCTATCCCGATCTATCACTTGCGTAATAGCTTTTGGACCTCGACCTTTTTCCACCGCACCCGACTCAGGGCTCTCCAGCTCGGTTGCAGCTTTAGCCTAATAAAACTCACCTTTTCACACGGCACTTCGCCGCAGTGCACACGGTGCTCCAGTGTATTAAAGAGGGAGTGAAGGGATTCCCCGGTCAGATACTGGTGTCCTGGAGACACGATGCTCACCACAGCCTTGTAAGCTTCCTCCACAGCGGGGGAACCCGAGACAAAACCGAGCAAACCCCACCCTGAGAGGAGAAGCAGAAGAAACGGCGAAGAGGAAATCATCTTAAAACTGTCTTTGAAGAAAAAAAAAGTTTTGCAAAGACTAAAAGTGTAAAAAAAAAAGTGCAGAAATAGTGTGACAGAGGCTCAAACAGTCTCAAGGTATTTCTGCAGACACATTGAGCCATAGAGCTCAGCTCACGGCTGTTATCAGTTTTAAACCACTGGAGTCTCACTGGACCTCGGCTGTGATTGGCTGAGACATGCCTCGTGCTGTCCTACATCTGTCTATTATAACCACTGTTACCTGTACAGGTCAGAAAAGGCACCCCACAGGCCTCCCAGGCATCGCCACACCACCAGCAAAACACCAAACAGCGGTTTCACTCATATTAGTTAACCCAAAGTTATATTGGGCATCACACATCACACAAAGGAGCTGATAGGCTCAACCAACACAAATCCAGTTAAAGGAAATGGATTTTTTTTAAATTTTATTTATAAAAGGCTTATGTGGCTGGTTCTCGACGTTTTGGTGCTCGTTATCCATACCAGAGCTATTATTATTATTTATCTTACTTAAAATAAGTGTTTCTATTTATGTCTATGTTCTGAGCCCAGGCCAAAATACTGGCAAACCAAGTACTAAACCATTTGATACTTTAAAAAGGGCTGTTCCAGCTTTGTAAACCCTTAATAGACAGTTTCCTGTTTAAATGTTCAGACATGCTTTCCATAATAAAACTGGAAAAAATGTTTTTTTTAATTTATTTATTTTTTTTAAACTCAGTGTCAGGTGCCTTTATCTTTTTGGTAAACAAAATCTTAATTAATTAATATCTCAAGTAAATAAATAAGTAACATATGTTTATAAAGCGCTTTTGAAAAACAAAAGTTACAAAGTGCTCTGCAATATAAAGCACAATAACAATACAATTAAAATGGATAAATAGATAAAAGTGACTGACCCCCACTCCTCTAATGAGGCCATTAAATAAAATCAAACAAATAAGGAATATAACATTCTTTACTTCTTTCTCTAAATCTGTAAAACAGTGGTTACTGGATAATCAAACATGCTGTCATGATGTGAAATAATGTCACCGAAGGTAATTGATTTTAATGTGTTTAAATATGGTATATGGGTATTTATTATTATTCTTTATTTCATATGTGTTTCTGTATTTCACTTATGTTCACATGCTTCTGAATGTTTGGTTTTGTTGGTTCATTTGTTATGCCATCAACCTTCCAGTGACCACTGATGAAATTGAATCAATGTGGCTAAATCTGCCACGTTTACATGATGATTTTAAGTGCTCATGTTAATTAATTTGCATTGTCCCTTTTAAATAAACATAAACTAAAAGCAAGTGTGCACAGGTTCGTCTTAAGCTCCTTTTTAAAGGTATAAACAGCGGCTGCAGATCTTAAGTTCAATGGTAGCAAATTCCACAACTTAGAGGCAGCAAAATTAAAAATGCAATTTCCTTGTCCTTTAATTTAAGGAGGTATTTGACCATTAGGAGCTCAGTAAAATCTTATATTGAACCATCGACTTAATGGGGTACTGGTGTAAAGAGGACATAATCCATGTTCTTTTAGAGGAGCTGGTGAGAAGCCTCACAGCTGCTTTCTGGACCATTTATGAACGATCCAAAGATGGTTTGCTCAGCCAAAGGAATCACAATTTTAGAGGGGCAAATCAGAATAAGACAGCCAAGATACTCATCAAAACTGAATTCCTAATCCAAAGTACGAAGAGATTTCTCACATTTGGGAGACCTTTTTTCAGACCTTTGTTTTCTCAATAGATAAAAATAATTAGCAAAGGAAACTCAAAAAGAAAGAATCACATTTTCTGCTCTTTTCAAAATAGTTTTTTTAACTTCTACATTAAACTAGGTGGAAAAAAAAATCAAGCTATAAAATGAGTTAGGCTGCTTCAGGGAATGACTTAACACCAGGGTCCCAGATTAATTCTGCAGCATGACAGCAAGCCCAAACAAATGATCAGAGACGGAAACAACTATCTATAGTGACAAGGAGAAAACAGAGTCATTACAGTCAGTCCTGATCGCTTATCATGGAGTCAGTCAGGGACTATCCCCAGGACTGTTGCACATTCTAAGATATGCGTGGAACAACTTATCTTACAATTGGCTTGAAAACAGAGGATTATAAATTTTAAATGTTTCAGATCGTCAAACAAATTTTTAATATTAGTCAAAAATAACCCGAGTAAAGACAAGATGCAGAGAAAAAAAAAAGGTATCCACATCTACCTGCTCATGTGTGATAAAGTAATTGCCCCCTCAACCTAATAACTGGTTGTGCCACCCTCGGCAACAGGAACTACAATCACATGTGTGCAGAATTGTTTTAATTCAGCCACACTGGAGGGGTTTCAAGCATGCACAGCCTGTTTAAGGTCATGCTAAAGAATTTCAGTCCGACTTTGTCCAAACTTTGACTTGGTCACTTCAAACATTCCTTTTATTTTTTTTCGAGTCACTCAAACCTGGGCTTGCTGATTATTGTCCTGCCATGTAACTTAAGTGTGCTTAAATTTCAGGGCATGATCTGATGAGCGGACATTCTCTCTCAGGATTTTCTGGTAGAGAGCAGAATTCATGGTTTCATCAATTTATTGTTCAGGTCCCGAAGCAGCAAAGCAGCCCCGGTCCCTCACTCTACCGTCACTGTGTTTAACTGTTTGACTGATGCTCTTTTTATGAAATACTGTGTGTTTCACACCAAGTATAACAGGACTCAACCCATACAAATATTTTCCCAAAAGTCTTGGGGATCATCAAGATGTTTTTTGGCAAATATGAGATGAGCCTTTGTGTTCTCTTTGGTGAGTGGTGGTTTGTTAGGAGGGGGAAATTCTTTTTCCACACAGGGCCAGGCAGGTTTCTCCGTTAACAAATGAAATCATTGTTTAAAAACTGCTTTGTGTATTTACTGTGGTCATCTTGATCTAATACTGAATAAGTTTTTGATGATCTGACACATGTAGAAAAGAAAGGAAGTGGGCAAATACTTTTCCGTAGCACAGAATGAGCAGAAACACTTGGTCACAGACCTGAAAGGTCAGCTATAAAAACTATGGGAGTGAGGTTAAAGAATTTGCATGTTTAAAGGGTCCAAATGTTGAGCTGACACATGGTAGTTTTAAAAAAAAAAGTTTATGACAAGTGCAAAGATGAAAGCTTTTAAAATGGAAAGCATGAATGTTGTAAAATATCTCAATTTATGCCACTCGTCTCTGCTGCAGTTGAGCAACATTTTACAGGTGTTCTCCTTGACTTAACAATAAATCCTGCCATCAGTGCAGGACGTGACAACTTGTCCTGAGGCCGTGAATAAACCACAAAGAAATCAGAGACTCCCTGGCTCTGCCTGGCATATCTTTTGCAAGAACGGGTACACCAAGTTCAAGATAAGCATCATGAATGTTATTTTGCACTCTAAAACATCCTGACATGCAACAGGTTTGTGATGGTATGTTCATCACATACTGGTCAATGAAATGAGTGTTCAGTTATGTCTTGTGATATAAGGAATTTACTAACACTTCAGTAACATTTCCACATATCTTAGTGAAATCCAATACATTAGATTAATTTTCCTTCTGCAGGCAAGTTTACCCTTAACTGCTCCTTCTGTCGACTGCTCCTGGATCACCACAGATGTTCATGTGCTTATAAATTTACCTTTCACTTCAATAAAGTACACTTTCTTTTCACCACTGTCAACATGTTCTTCTTAAGCAAGTGACAAAAAGAAAAACTCACAGTAAAATCCAGACAAAAAATAAAATTTGAATGCACCAACTGAAAGCAGGAACCCCCACTGTAGATTTGCATATCTCCGCATGCTTACATTTGTGTTTTTCAAAAGCAGCAATCAGCAAACATTAAGTACTCTCTGATAACACGCTGACACAAACAGGTCTCCAAGTAGAATTTAACGTTCCTCTGCGAGCATGTTCCCCCAATAACCGCCAGATGGCGCAAATGCTCTGTCTAAAATCTCGAGAAAACATGAGTTTCAAACATTTGCTGGAAATCCATTGCAGGAAAACCGTGAAATAGGGAAATGTTGCCCAAAAATATTCTTTTAATGATCACAGTTTTTCTACCAGTTCCATTTTTGTTTAGGCTGCTACCTCCTAGCTTTTTTAAAAAAACTATTATTTTAGTCAAAGCTGTTAATTATTTACTTTATCGTTCTAATTAGACCACCTCCTGGAGTAAAACAGAAAATATATGCACAGGGAAGGCAGAGGGTCATTCAATAAATATCAGATAAATAAATACATAAAATAAAATAAAATACATGGCTTCAGAGTTAAACAGCTACTCCTGGTTATATGCATATACTGTATACAAAATGTACAGTCAGGGGTTTCTCCCAGGATGAGCTGAAGTACAATCAAGAACATGTTTGTATGCTGTTCTGTTGGCGGCTGTTTCTTGTTTAGGATGCGATGTGAAATTTCGCATTATTGTAAAGAAGGTGTTGCATAGTTTTCCACAATATTCACCGTTTGCTGCTGTTCAGTGTGCTTGTATCCATGTTTTTATTAGAGTGCTTTAAACAGGGACACGATCTGCTCATCACCAAAGTCCCATCTGTCCTTGGATCTGTTGCATTTTGCTTAAACATAACCGTCTTTACATGTATTTTCCCTGTTAAATAAATATTATTGCAGAAAGAAATTTGATGAATTTGTTCTCAAACTGCAGGCTTACTTGTGGTTTGTAGGGTATTTAAAAGTATAATGGGAGGCAGAGCCTTCAGCTTTCAGATCCCTCTTCTGTGGAACCAGCTCCCAGTTTGGATTCAGGAGACAGATAGCACTGCTTTTAAGATTAGCCTTAAAACTTTCCATTTTGATAAATACAATTAGGTTGGATCAGGTGACTCTGAACCCTCCCTTAGTTATGCTGGAATAGGAGGATTGATGACTATCCAGGACCCTGGTTCTGCTGGAAGCTCTTCCTGTTAAAAACAGTTTTTCATTCCCATTGTCACCAAGTGCTTGCACTTGTTGTCACGTGATTGTTGTGGGTTTTCTTTTTATATGGTAGGGTCTTTACCTTACTATATAAAGTGCCTTGAAGCAGCTGTTGTTGTGATTTGATACTATATAAATAA